GCTCAGTGTTAGAGTGCTTGCCTAGCATGTGTGACATACTGGGTTCAATTCTCAGCACCACATACAAATAAAATAAAATAAAAATTCATCAACAACTAATAAAAATTTTTAAAAATTTAAAAAGTCAGCTACTTTGTAAAATTTAAAAAAAAATCCTGCTGTCACATACAGCTTTCTTCCACATAATCTTATGCCCATATAGCACTTACCTTTTTGTATTAGAAATAATTTCTATGTCTCTGCTTACCTTGATAGAGCATGAGCTCTCAAAGTCATATCCTTTCTCTAGAGATAGGCCAGAACCTTCAAAGACYTCAAAGTAAAGATCCATGATTCACCTCCATTAGAATCACTTGGAGGATGTTTCCAAATGCAGATTCCTGGGTCTGATTTACCCAACCTTTGGAATTAATGTAGTATTTGTGTTGATTTCTAATAGCTTTTATAAGGTCTTCAGAATGTACCAGGGAGATAATAAATCCAAAAGATGTAACCCAAGAGCTACACACTGATAGTTCCACTTATTTACTCACACAGTCRTTCAGAATCTTCTGCCATGAAATTTGTTCAATGGAGGAATAAAGGAGAAAGCATCACTCTGAGAAGCTTTCATCTTATAACTGAAACYACTTGCTACTATTATATTATAGCAGTACTTATTTTCCCTGGATCCAAGCAAACAATTTGGGGATTTTAAAGTTAGAGACCTTAGAGATTATACCTGACATAAAATATGTTAAGAAAAAAATATACCAAGGTATGTTAAAAACATAATAGGCTGAACAGTCACAGCGCGAGTCCTGTCATTTATAAGAGCAATATTAAAGACTCTAAAATTATTAAAATCTCCAACCTTTTTTTTCTTTTTGCTTTTTTTCCCACATTTTTATTGGTACATTTTAATTGAACATAATGGTAGAATTTGTGGTTTCCTATTCATACAYACACAAAATATAACAATATAATTTGGCCATTGTCATTCCCTAGTATTTCCCCTKTCCCCCTTCTCCTCCCTCACCCTGGTCCCCTTCCTCTATTCTACTGATCTTCATCAAATTTTCATGAGATTCATCCCCCATCCTTCTTTTCTTTTTTCCTCTCTACCTTCCACATGAGAGAAAACATACAACCCTTGACCTTTTGAAAAACTCCAAATCTTTTCAATGACAAAAATATTCATCCTTTGTTTCATAAAAAGGTTTTTAAGGAAGCATATTTTAAATATAAGAAATATTACAAAATTACATACAACAAATAATTTATTTTTTGATCAACGCACAACTAAAKTTCACATCTATAAGTAGAAATATAATAAACAATATATCCTAGAACAGTATCAAAATAAAATTCACAATTGATTAGWAGATCCCCAAAATCCAATCTCAAAAACATTAAGTACATGTTATGATTTTTACAAATGAGAAATCCCTTTTAAAAAAAATAGAATATTTTACCTATATTTTTGTATGGCACAAATGGTTCAAAATATTAAATGTTAAATCAAACCAACAAATTTCTTCTTTTTTGTTACTGCTTCAAAAATATKTATAGCTATACCTAAGTCTTATAGAGACTTACTATCTCTGATTGAAATAAGAATGTCATATTTACCTTCCACCCTCCTAGCAGATAATAACCAGGAATCATTTCTTAAAACTAAGTTTTCACTTAATAATACAGGCTATACCACTTTATATAGTTCACAAATTAAGAAACATTTTATAATCATGATATATTTAAGGACTTGTAACTACTTTGTTATCTCCTTTAATCTTTTTCTAGAAAATAAATGTGTATTTTAAACAGGGCACTAGTACTTGGGACTGTAAGTCGAATATCATCACCTCTCTCTTTACTCACTAATAGCTTTGGTAAAACACTTAACCTGCCTTCTAACCKAGTACCTCCACCAGAGTAATAGCAATACTCTACTCTATTTGGTATCTATTTTTAGATGCATCAGAGAGTGAAAAAGCCATTATATAATTAATCTCTTACATCTTTGGTGGATAACTATGCTCTATTTAGAAGGGCCATTATGTTGCAAACTCCATTTTGCAGATGAAATTCATTTAGCAAATATGCTAATTCTGGATAGGCAAGGATAACCACAGGAGACCAGGAAGATGAGCAATAACATGGGCTCATGAAGTGTACTTTCCTTGAAAAAAATGTTTATTTGCTCAAATTAGAGAGGGAACGTTGTAAATTGTACATCATTTGGGAAGACTGTTATCTCTTTTTCATTTTCAGTCACATTATATTATTGGATATAGCAGCTCCAGAAGCTAACGGATTATTGCTTTTATAATTGAATTCGTAAAGTTTCACGTCATGAAATTATATAATTACGTTTTGAAACATCACAGAAGCTCAAAATATATCTATTTGTAATCATCATAATGTGTACATCTGATCAGGACCCACCTATGTTCAAGGCCSGGTTCAATCATCATCCATATTTTCTGCCACAATCAAAGAAAACACATTGTGTGCTCTTAGTGGCCACTAAGAGAAGATGCTGTCTTGCAATGAGAGGAAATCATGAACAAATAAAATAACCATCCTTCATTGGRAAAAAAAAATCTGCAGAGAAAATGAGAGTCCTGAAAATGTCTAGTGGCACTAATTAAATGAATGTTTCAAAACAATGATTTGCCCCATTGTAGCACCAGCAGCAGAGTAGCCCACAATTATGTGACTGCACTAAAAATAGAGTCTACTCCTTTTTCTGCACAGTGAGTTGCAAAAAGGCACAAAGTTCACAAATAGATGTATTTTCAGGTATGGGAACAAAATGACATAAAAGATGACCTTGTTATCAATAGATGTTAGAGTTAAGAACATTTCAAGGAAAAMCCCATTAGTATACAAAGCACTTGAGCCCAGCTGAAGTCCTCAAAAAGAACAATATCCCTTTGAACAGGGACAAGAATAATCAAGCTGTACATGGATGTACCTTACACATCAAAGTTCTAGAAAKATCATTGCTAAGAATACATCCCATAAACCACATTGTCAAGTTTCAGTCTTCATGCATGCCCAGAAAAGGAGAAACTGGCATCCATCAATAATAAACAATAAATCAGTGGAGCATGGTGCCATGTGCCTGTAAGTCTCAGCTATTCAGAAACAGTAGGATTGCTTGGAAACCACAAGTGCAAGATCAGCTTGCACAATGCAKCAAGACCTGTCTCAAAAAAAAAAAAWCTTTTTGAAAAATAATGACRAAACAATGAATCATTTCAAATCTAACATATAGTTSCAAGAAATTTGTTGGAGGGGGTGGGGGTTTGCTGGGGATTGAACCCAGGGACTTGTGCATGTGAGGCAAGCACTCTTTACCAACTGAGCTATATTCTCAGCCAAAAAAAATTTTTTTTTGTTTAAAATGTTTCTATGGGKCTCCTAAATCATATAACAACTTTCCTATTCCTAAAAATATCAGCTTTTTTGTATAAAATAAGTGGTATTAAGACACAATAGTGCCAGGCGCAGTGGCACATGTCTATAATCCCAGCAKCTTGGGAGGCTGAGGCAAGAGGATTTCAAGTTCAAAGCCAGCCTCAGCAATTTAGTGAATCCCTAAGCAACTCAGTGAGACCCTGTCTCTAAATAAAATACAAAACAGGGCTGGGGATGTGGCTCAGTGGTCAAGTGCCCCTGAGTTCAATCCCTCCCTTATTCAAAAAAAAAAAAAAGACAATAATAGGTATTTTGAGAACCTCCAAAAGAAAACTATTAAATGAGTACTGACAGATTGCAGACTAGCTTCACAGCATTAATATCACATGACTGGGGAGTAGATGGCAGCAAAAGAAACCTTTTACCAGAGGACAACAGAGTTATCTAAGCAAAAACCCAGCATGAAAAGAGCACTACTCCTGATTTCCTAGAATGCCTCCCTCACAAGGGATTATTTCTGATTCCTGGGACAGTGCACAGCAGTTCTCATTGAACACTTTAGAAGCACATTTGGTCACACCATGCTCTGCCTTATTATGTTGAAACCACTCATTTTCATTTCCCTTACATCAATAAATGCCAAAAAAGAGGGATAAGACTGTCATTTACCCTCAATTTCCTCAATAATGTAAGGATTAGAGGGAGTGTGTAAGAAYTCCAAAACAATAGGCTAATACATTCCCTAGTTCCCCTTTCTCCTTTATTTCTCCTAGGAGGAAACCTATTTCAGATAATATCTCCTCTAAAGTTTAGGAGGCTGAAAAGGATTGCTGCCTAACCCCTCCCCCCAAAAAAATATTCTCAAACATAGTGATTTTCCGAGTAAATACCTTTCAAAGGGAAAGTGCTACATAGAMTATAAAACCTTCCCTGGAGTGCTCATAAAGAGTAACATAAAAGTAGTTATAGGTGGRAAAAAAAGAAATAATATTCTAAGAACTGCAAAAAAAAAAATCAAATACAAGTGATTCTACCCTCCCTGCATCTTCCACCCATGCAAATGTATACACACAACAGACTCAACTACAAGTTTTAAGAGCAACTACAAAAAAGCAAAAAAGAAAATGAATCTTTGTTTCACAAAGAGAGAAAGTATGTCATAGAAAACAGCAGACCAAAGGAATCTTCCTTCACTTACTCAGTGAGCAAAAAACAATGCTTCTAGACCTATGGTAGGCATAATTCACATTTCATTTTCAGAAAATATTCTATTCAAAGTAGCATAAYAAAATGAAGAAGTTCTGAGGTAATTATACTCCTATCCTAATTATCATTACATTAAGATTTTGCAAAACAAAACCTACAAAGCTGTTGCAATCAAGTTCTTAATAYGGAAAACTAAACATGATATTAATGGGGAGAAAAAAAAGTTTATGTAAAAAAACTCCTTAAATCTTTCTTTTAAAAACTTCCAAATGAATATTAAAATCAGTCATATCAAGTAACTTATACAAACTATAAAAACAATTGCAATAAAGAGTATTGAGAAATCAAAATTACCAATTATATTTCAGACTTGATTCCACACACAAAAAACTAAACCAGAGTTCATGAAGGTGGCTAAAAGAATTCTTATACAGATTTTTTTTAAGAACAATAGTTCATTTCTTCAGAGATAGATCATCCACATCAAAATCCTCCTTGTTTAGCATCACCAATGGCTCCCCAAACATCAAAGACAAATTCATCTGGGAATGCAAAGTCTCCAAGAGTTTCATCAAGTGCCGTGGCAAATTCATCTGGATTRTTTTTGTCCTTTCCAGCTTCAAACATTGTGGTGGCTGTCAAAGATAATTAAGGATAAATGAGATAGCATYATAGGACTGAGAAAAATGACCCCAGGAAGTGCTTTCCAAATGTAGCATGCATACATATCATATATTCCTAGGCAAATTAAAACATGAGGATACTCATTTTCACTTYTCATTTTTTCAAAAATCTGTCCAATGCACCAGGTTGGCAGCTGTCACCCATCGACCTCTCTCCTACCTTGAAGCTAATTGGGAACCTCCAGCATTCCTATGTGCAAAACAAGATATTCTGAAAGAAAACCTTGTAGTACACCCCTTCCCAGCCTCCCAAGAGTCATTAACTATCTAAGATGTAACAAAAAACAATACAGCATCACATTTGTGGTACTCCTGCCAAAGAAGTGAACCCTAAGTGTAATTATGTGGGGGCTGGGGATTTGGCTCAAGCAGTAGCGCGCTCGCCTGGCATGCATGCGGCCCGGGTTCGATCCTCAGCACCACATACAAAGATGTTGTGTCCGCTGAAAACTTAAAAAATAAATATTAAAAAAAATTCTCTCTCTCTCTCTCTCTCTCTCTCTCTCTCTCTCTCTCTCTCTCTCTCTCTTTAAAATAAAAAGAAATATAAAAAAATAAAATAAATAAATATAATTATGGGGAAAAAAAATTGGACAAAACAAAATGGAGAAACATTCTACAAAATAACTTGCTTTTACCCTCCAAAACATGAAGATCATGGCCATCAAGTAAATAAGGGATAACTATTTAAGTTGACACAGCATGGTATGTAAATGCAACATATGATTTTTTAACACACTCTTTTGCTATCAAACCTATTAAAGAACTTGATGAAACATGAATAGGAATAAATATTGGATGGCAATAATGTKTCAACATTATTTTCATTATTTGGTTGATTATATTTTGGTTCAATAGGGGAACACCRTTGTTATAGGAAATACACAAAAATTTATTGGGGAACAATGGAATATCAGTAAGGTAACTTACTCTCAAATGGTTTAAGACAAAAATGTCTTTGCACTTCACATGTAACTCTTTGTAAGTTTGGGATAGTTTCAATTAAAGGGGGAAAAAACAGTAATAAAGAGGAGGAACTGAATCTCTTCTCTTAATTGTGGTTACCCTCCCTCACCTCTCAACCACGACCCAAAGTGCTCTTCATTGATCACTAACCAGAAGTACTTCAAAAARGAGGGAGGTCCTCAGCTGCAGTGAACTGCTCCAGCCACAGATCCTACCAAGTTACTCAGACTCTTCTAAAGTTCCTGAGTTTATGAAAACTTTTCCTGTTTTTRAAGAATATGGCAAGATTGGGCAGGATGTATTAAACCAATACTCCAACATGCTGGTTTGATTTTATAAATTAGACTATTGAAAAACAATTTGGAAACAAGTGACAAAATCCTCAAAAATTTCATATCCATTAATCTACATAACATTTCCACCCTTGGGAATATGTACTTTAAAAATAAAATCTTGGGCTGGATTTGGAACTCAGAGGTACCATGTGTGCAGCATGCAGAAGGGTCCAACCCCCTAGCACCAAAAAAAAAAAAGCAAAATCTTAAAAACAGAAAATAATTTAGCATAAAGGTATAACTAAGTATCAAATAAATCTAAAATGTAGAATTAATAAGTAATCTCTACTGCAATGAAATGTATGGGGTGAAATATTTGATAAAATATTTTTGAAATAATTTTAGTGTTTATGAACAATTTGTAATAACCTGGGGAAATATTTTCTCTTAGGATTTACTGAAAAAAACAGTTATATACATTTTACATTATAATCATAACTACATTTTTACAAAAATCTATACATGGAATAGATAAGTAGAAATAATAAACTCGGGGCTCAATGATACA